GATGACTATTCAATAACGCAAACAAGTCTGGAACAGGTATGATGATTATTCATTTTTTCGCTAAGGTGACTCGCATTTACTGTTTCAGTCTCCAACTAACGGACAAAATAGGGAATTACGTATAGGTCGAAATAGATCGAAAGAGGAGAATATTTTCCAGGTCTGTACTCGGTTTTATCCTAAAAAAAAATATGCAATATAAAAAAGTTACAACTATTTAAATAGAGCATTTATCGTGCAACGTGACCGTAACAATTTTATAAGTTTATTTTGTTTTTTTTTTTTTTCTGAAAAAGCTACCAACAAACCTCGAAAATAGTATCCTTCTCGTGAAACTGTGTCGTTGGTTACATAAACTCCAATTTCAACCTAAACGTAATTCCGCTTTGTAGCCCGTCGGTTGGAGACTGAGACGAGCGAGTATTTCGTCCTCTTCAGACGTTCTCGTTTCAATATTAAATAACCACGGTTGTCGATTGTTCCGCAGGTATTTTTGAACTTTACCAGAAACCGTCAACTAGTAGCATGATAACACCGCTACCAACTATAATACCGAATTTCATCCTATACAAGTTCGTTTTTTTCCGTTTATATATATATATACATAATTATATAAGTGTAAGTGCCATGTCAATAAAAAAAAAAAAAAAAATATATACATATGTATGTATTATTTATGTCTTCTCGTCGGACCGCGATAACGCAACAACTGTCCGACCGTCTCGTCGTCGTCGTCGTTGTTGTTATCATTTATTATTATTATTTTTTTTTTTTTCATACGAAGGCTGACTACTGTATATTAATAATGAAAAAAAAAAAAATATTTTTTTTTTTTGAAAAAATCGTTTTGTAATATTTCGATGTTTATGTGATAATTTATACAATTGATATTATTATATACTTCGTAAGTAATAGTGTAATTATTATTATTATTATTTACTTGTACTTTGAAGCCGAATCAAGCATAAACCTAAAGCCAGTAGCTATAATATAGCTATTTATTGTTTCGGCAGTTTTTTTTTTTTTTATATATATATATACATTATTGTATTTTCCTCGAGCGTACTTCGTGCATTATAATATAAATATTATTATTGTATATCGTATTTAAACGCTCAATGTACAGAGAAAAATTATATTTTTGAATAATTATTATATTTATATATATATATATATATATATATATATGATAATATTTTAATATGCCCGGTCCGTGAAAATGTACCTATATACCTTTTTTTTTTTGTTTTTCTACTCTAGTTACTAAATGATATTACATTATCGTCTGTGTATAATAATTACCACTACCATTTATATAGATGATTTAGAACCTATTTAATTCGTAACGTTAAGTGTATAATCTGTTCAGTAGTTTTAAGAAAAAAAAAAAATAATAAAATAATATACCAAAATGTACAGAAATCACCGCGTAAATTATTGCATACAACACGCGCAAGGGGCGTGTTCGTCCCGCACGATTTTTCCCCCGAAACCCGAAAACAAATCCGCGTTATATTTATCGCTTATTGTTATTGCTAATACTCGATATTCTTGCTCGGTTTTAACCGTTCGAAACAACGTAAAACGATAAATCAGTAAATGGCGAATGTGTTTGTTTAACTCAATAGTTTATTTCAATCTGGTTGAAGAATACTCTACGCGTTTTCCTCCGGGAAAATCGGAAAGAGTAGCGGCGTTGACCGTTCCGGATTTTCGATACATTCGATCGACATGATCGACTGTATCCGAATATTTATAAATTATTCGGAATTCCGTTCGCTTGATGCCGGACCATTTATACATTCATACACAATAGGTTAAGACGGAGTTAAAGGTGTATACGAATGTGTACTCGCAACAAAAAATTTAAAAAAAAAAATTGTTATGCGTGAACATAGTTTTTGAAAAATAGAAAAGCGCGTACGGATAGAGGGCAGGCGTAGTGGGTAAACAGCACCACAGATGCGTCTCCGTGATACATTATGGATATTGTAAATCGCTTTGAAATGTAACGCACGGTCGTCACGCGATATAAACCCAACCTTTAGTTTTTCCTGAGAGTATTTCGGATGTCTAACTCACTGTTCAAACTCTGTGTCTGCCTGTAGATGTGCCCGCCGATAGAAAATATATTGTATCGGTTTTCTCCAGAATCGCAAATAAAATCGGTGCGAACAAAATCTATACGCCTTTGTAAAAATAAAAAACAAAAAATGCAAACCGACCGCGCGCCGTGCGTTCTTTATTCGCTGTTGTATAATGGTATTCGGTCGTCGGCGGCGTAAACAAAAAAAAAAAAAAAAAAAAAAAATGTGAAAGTCGCGCAGTGCTATTCGACCGGTTTAGTGCGTACCGTATACGTTCGAAAACTTCCGCTAGAAAACGGGCCTGGTCACCAGCGATAACGAACGCGTTTGAAAATTTATATGATCGCGGTGAGAGTTATTGTGCGCGAAAACAATAATATTACGCGATTGAAAAGTAGGCCGTGCACGTACAGGAATGTAGAACGGATCGACCGGTTACGGGTGCCGCGGACCAAATGCATCGTTTTTCTCCCTTAAAATCGTTCGCGACAAACGGAGGGGTTGAGGGGGTACGTATACGTTAAAAATAGAGAGGGACGATGTATTGAACCTGTGCGTGAGAGAAAAAAAAAATCACGATAACCCAAATGAACCCGATTATGAAGTGGACCGAGGCCGTTAAAAACCAAAAGGATAAATGAAACATTCGAAACTCAGTATTACACCCTGCCGGAACCTTTGGATGCTTACGATAATTTTTACAATAATATTATGTAACATTGCATTTTCACGTCATTCGAGTATATTTTTCGGACAGCCGCCCCTATTGCCAACCTCCACGGGAACTCGTCGTTTTTATCGTTGTTTTCAACGGATTAATTGCTTTCACCCGTTGAATGGTTAGGAGTCAGCCGTGCAGTTAAGCATGGCACTTGTTTGGGCGGCCATGTCGAAGTACAGCGCCCCGGCGTATAATTTATGGTATCCCCGTGTAAAAGTATAGCACCCTTCTGTCCTAAAACTGTCCTTTTCATTCTACTAATCTACTAATGGTGTTGATGATTGGTGTAAGGTCGAAATCGTGTTATCAGACGGGGAAAACGGTTGTCTTCTCAAGAAACCCAATGGAGACAAGTGATGTACTTACATACTTATTTACATACGATTTTTGAATCGTATAGGCTATAATACGTTAAAGCGTTCCATAATTTATGGTTTTGCTATTTTTTAATCAACGGTACGTTCAGATAACTTGAGTCACATAAAAAATAACGGGTTTATAATTTATCAACGTGATAATTTTAATGTCAAACACGAGCCCTGACGTTTACAACGTAAGCATTTTAACAGATATCTTAAAAGTATAGATATAACAGCTGCATAAATAATTTCTTTTGAAAAAGTCATAACACCGCGATTATGCCTATAGTTATACCATAAGTGCACATTTTTCTTACACAGAATTTATTTGATATTTGATTTGTAATTACTATATTTTTTTTGTTTGAATTGATTTATTTTAAACGTTCACGGTTCTTGTGTATTCAAAACGAAGCAATTTAATGTAATAATTGTAGGGTACAGGGAAAAAACCAGAAAAGTCACTTTTTTTTCCAAAATGGCGATATCGGTATCAAATAATTTGTATTGACGCGTCGTATCTTTTATGCGACCGAAACGGTGAAAAAATCAGATTGTAGTCGAAAGTAATGAATGCCAGAAGTTTTAAGAAAAAAAACCAGATAATCAGTTTAAAACCAGATAAGTGTTGGGATAATACACGGCTATAGCCTCGGTCAATAACATAATGTGATATTATTATGTTGTAGTTGCTACATTTCAAAGTTTAACGTTAAACTTAATTCAAACTTTTTACTTTGTAAAAAAAGATTTGTTTCGTTTTTAAGTTAAAAACACGTTTTTCTCAGTTTTGGAAAAAAAAGTGACTTTTCTGGTTTTTTCCCTGTACCCTCGTATGTCAATATACAAAGATAAACTGGCCTAGTTTTAATGTGCGTGGCATGTGTATGGAATATATACACGAATGTTTGTCTATGCACCTGTAGTATAAAAAAGGTGTCTGTACTTTGGGTTTTTAAAATCATTCGAACTCAACAGTATCGGCAGTCAACTGTTTTCAATTATTTGAACGTGTGTTAAAATCTGTATTTTGGTCAAAATATATAGTTCAGGTAAATTTAGAAGTTCTCGTTTTTTCAGAGGTTTTAATCATACGAATAATATTATGCTATAGATATTGGATAGTTGATCAATTAAATATATTTTTCATTTGAACGCGCTACTTGGCAATACTGATTATCGTCATGAGTATTAAGATATGTCTTAATGATATTATTTATTGTTTCTCCGTTGAAAAATATGTAAAATATAAATTGAAAAAAAAAACAATCAGTATGCATCATATGTGGCGTCATTTTAACTGTCAATATTGGATATTTATATAACTTTAGATTTTTATAATATTGTGTCTCACGCAATCGAAAAAAAAACCGGAAACTCAAATGCATACAACGAAAAAAAAAAAATACTATTTAGGTATTTACAGCATAACTTGAACCCAACAAGTTTAACATCGACGAACTCAATACAATAATTATTTTCAAAATCATATCCCTATGAAATATGTAATTTCCATCATTGATTATTAAGTATTCAAGTATGTCTCAAATTTAAGACGTAATAATTATTGTGTGTCGATAGCGCATGGAAGTGCATACATGCATTTTTTAAAATTGAGTCAACTTGAATACTTAGATTTCATAACTGATTTTTTTTTTCTTAATAAAAAATCATCCAGTGAAGGGTTAAGTAGGTATGTGGTTTTATGAAACGTGTGTATTTTGTTATTTTCTATATTATATTGTGAGTCCAACGAAAGGACTCGCAATAATATAACGTCATAAATGATCGTTAATTTTTTTTTTTTTTTTAGAATTTGACAAAATCAATATAATGGACGGGTCATTTTATACTTGGTTTTGTGTGCTACTGTATTTAGTGGCGTTGTTTGGGACTTTATCGTACGGAGCTAGTATACCATGTGAGTATCGTTTACGCTATTGTGACTGTTATAGTACCGTTTATTATACCCAGTAGAGTGGTGATAAAATCTCAGACCCTGGTGCAATTATAAAAAAAAACTGATAAATATACGTCGAATCGCGTAAAATCACCTTAAAGGCCTTTTATTATATGCATAATATATTGTGCTTTATTGTCAATATAATTATTTAATATTAATTAAAATTTCATAAGCCAAACAAAGGGGATATTTTATCCACTCACTTTTTCCCTCCCTCCATTACGACCCTGGAGTCTATGTATCCTCTCAACTTGCCACTTATAACAGTGGTCCACCCGTATAGTATTAGCTCTGTTTAGTCCTATTCTATTATACGACTATTACGATTCTGAACTTCTATTACTATAAATAGGTATTGAACTTTTTAATGTTTTGGAATTTTGTACTTTTATCATGAAAACGTTGAATTAATTGCATTGTTTTATAAAACTGTTTGCCGAAATCCTTTTTTGGTTTAAATTACTTCATAATCAAAGTAATTATTTTCATTATCCGCACAACTTTTTAGATTGTAATAAGTCGTATCTTACATTGGAATTTTAACTATAATTGTAGTGATTAAACATGTTACTGTAACATCAAAGAAATCAAATAATATAATTTTATATGTGCATTATTAATATTAAATTGTTGTACATTTTCAGTTACTCCGTACTTCTCGAGCGCGCACAACTATAAAAGTGGAAGTCCTCCATCAACAACTGTATAAGAATAAAAAATATTTACCTATACTCACAATTCCAATGTTGTTTTTAAAATAACAATTTATAAAAATAAATCTATATCATTACAACGTTTGTGGTTTTTTTTTTTTCCATTGTAGGTACCCACCAAATTTGTATTAACTGTCGGATATGAATAAAATAAAATAAGGTATCCTACCTTCCCAACTTCTCACCTACACAAGTGTCACACAGTAGTATCAGCTGTTTTAGATTCTGAATGGAGCGAGGAATGTATCGATTTTACAATTTTACTATTTATCACTTAGTTAAAAACTTCGGAAAACGTATTCTAACATAGCAAATGAACGTTCTACAGAGACGATTTCGTACTATTAGTGTGAATACTAGAGTTAATTGACATATTATCAAACTAAACAATAAGACCATTGGTGCTATTTTTTCGACATTTTAATTTTTAAGCGAACATTTTTTATAAATGTTATTAAATTTTGATATTTCACACACACCTACTAATCTCGTATGAAAGTTAAAATATCGAGAGAAAAAAGGACCAACGTTACCGAGATAATGTTCTTGTCTTTAAGTTTGATAAAGATAATAATTATCTAACAATTCACCCTAATATTAAAATTGCACGATATTGTCTTTGCTGAACGCAAATTTACCATTCCATACGTTTGAGAATCTTAAGACGGAAACAGTAAAGACAACAAGAAATTTGTATCTTTCTCGATGGGAAAATGAAGATCGTTGTCAATTTTTTCAATAGTTGTAGTTAATAAATAACTATAAACCATTCTCATAGTTCGCAGTAATAATCCATAATCGTTCAAATCATAATTTGTCTATACTACAAACATCATAATCAAATTATATATGGCCACATTGTAAAATAATTATCTTTTATCATTTTATTCTTTATCTATCTGTAATAAATAAACATTGTCAAGGTGAGTGGGTGTTGCCAAATCTACAACACCCCCCCCCCCCTATAATCGGTACACAACTGGTCCGCGGTCGTGTATACACATTCATTTTCCGAACTCTCAAGTGTAAGTCTAAGTATGTTATTATTAAAATATAGAAAAAAAATGTAAATAAACAAAGTTTTGGCCACTTTTATAAGGTAAGCCAATGTTACTTTGGGAGAAATATTACTTGAAAGTAGTTTTTTTTAAAATTAATTTTCATTTAGTTTTCTTGACAGCTAAGGAAAATTAAAAAATGTAGGGAAAACGGACAAGTTTACATCGTTAATGACATTAGGATTCATTATTTACGATATTGCCTTTTTTTAGTAATTCGGTTATAGATAACCATAAAAGCCTGACATTTTGATGAAACATTTAAATTAGCTTTTTCTAGACGTAGTGAACATTTTCAAATATTTTGAAACAATTTTTAGCTGTTTATAGCAATTTTACATTTTAGATCTGAAGCACAGCAAGGAATATTTATTGATTTTACAATGTGTTCATTTTTTTTACACTGTAAAAAAAATTACTACCAGAAAATCTTGTTCCGATATATCAAGTGTAACAACTTCTTTAAAAGGAAATTTAATCTGGTTGGTACTTTAGAGAGGTCATTTTTGATTTCCCACGTAATTTTCATAACAATTGGGAAAATCGGAAAAGACGAAAAATAAAAACTAACAAATTTCCGGTGTTAAGATTTCATTATTTTTAATTTTTTGTACCCTTTATGTTTTTTACGAGAAGTATTGTTTCAATAGAAAAACAACAGACAGCTTTTTTGGTGAACTTTTTAATGTAGTTGGTGTTTAATATATTTTATTATTACTGTGTTGTGTTTTTAAAATTATGCGCTCTACAAAATTATTTACTTAGTGCGCAATAAATATTATACGAAATGTGTCAGGAGAATAATATAAATCATTTTTAACCCAAAATCTCGAAGAATCTATTAATACTGATGAGATAAGTGTTTGAACCGACTCGTGAATACGATTTTAATCAAATAAAAAAAACGAATAGCTATTGGTTTTACAATGCTATTATTATTTTTTGTTTGTTCTAGTCTGTGGACACGTTTTTTCCTAATAAACTTACTACGTTTTACGTGTAGCAAGGTTTCTGGAAGCTCAAATTGTCTAGATTGTACTTTAAAGAGGTCATTTTTTTGATTTTCAGCGCTATTTTTTAAATAAAAACACTTAAGTGGGAATAAAACGTAGGAAAATATATAGTTTCACGATTTCATTCTTTTATAAAAACAAGACGACGTTTTCTACCAGAAAAAATGATTTAATCGAAAAATCACCAGATACCTTTTATGCTGCCTTTTTGATTTAATTTCTAATGGTATAATCGCCAACACTTTTCAGCCACTTTTGAACTCTTAAAGAATTTTAATTTTTAGTTTTTTTTTTTTTCTGTAATTCGGTTATAAATACACGTAGAGACTTATAACTTGATAATAATACTTATATTGGATTTACCTAAACGTGATGAAATTTCCAAAATTATCAGATGACAATTTTTTTTTTTTAAATAAGCGTTTTGAAATCAAATTTAAACGGAAATTGCGAAAAAATTGCGGCACTTCATATAACGTATTACCGAACTGCGTCCGGAATCATCTTTCGTCAAGCAATGGTTTATCGTTGCTTGCTTACAGATATAAATGAAATAACCTTATGTATCCTACCTTCCCAACTCCTCACCTACAACAGTGGCCGCTCCCATCCCCAGTATCAGCTTTTTTTTCTTTATGAAAACTTTATTATATGAGATTTAATATTCTTCGTTATTTACTCAATCAATAGTTCGAAAATTAATTAATTTATAGTATAGTTTAAAATATTATTTTATTTATTGTATTGGATTCATTATTATTATTACTTTTTTTTTTTTTTTTTTGAGTACGAATATTTAAAGAAACGTTTGAAAAAATAATATATATTCAGGACATTAGTATTTGCTCAAAACTGATTTATTTCTTCGTATTCGAAAAAAAAAAAAATGAAAAATATTGACCAAAATAATTGTTTACACTGTTCGAGCGTATAATTACTGACGAGAATTTAGTACTTACTTACTTATATTAGATCTTTTATTTAATTCGATTACCGCGTCAGTTCGAACACTGTTGTCTAAGCGGAATTTAGGTTAAAACTGATTTATATATTATTTCTCAGACACAAACCTATATGTAAGTAATATGTACCTTACGTTTAATTATATATCGTCAATAATTGTCCACTCCAACGGAGCACTCTGTATACAATTATTTTAGTATATTTTTATTTAAAATATGTAAAGCATTTCTTGCATTTTTACGCTTTAACACGCATGCGTTGAATTAGTTTTTAGAGAAAACTAGGGAGTGATACGCCGTGTGGCCACACAAATAATACTCCCCTACTTTTTGCCTACACAAACTTAAAAGTAGAATACCTTGTGAACGGATTAACGGAAATAAAAAATTTCAACACCAAAATGTATTCAAACTAATACTCCATCTGTGTATGGAACTATTAATAAAGGTTACCGTTTGAAAATTAAAAAAAGTTGGTAATTGTTTCATTCTCAGAGGAAAAAAAATAATGGTTATGTAAAATTTTAGATCTGCTTTCGGTCCTTAAGTTATGAAGTCTACACTTTGCGAAATAGTGAGTGTTCAACGATAAAAGAATCAACCTGCACATTGCACAATATTAACATAACACTTTTGATGAACCTTTGATGAAAACCGTAAAAATTATGGCATTTTAAAACGTATATAACTTTATGTATTCTACCTTTTCAACTTCCCATCAAAAGTGGGACATCCATCAGCAGTATTAGCTCGTTTTTTTTGTTTAAAGTGACTAAAGGTAATCATTGAATAGTTTTTACGCATTTTTGTTTCCTATAACAAGAAAGGGCGAAGAAAATTTATCGAGATAATTCCATTAAATTTATAGTTTGTTTTTTTTTTTTATTTGCGGGATTTGTTTGGATAGTATTGTGATTGGAGAGAATTTGTTCGTCATGATCTTATCGGAAAATCGTTTAAAATAATGCTATCTACAAAATTATTTATCTGATGCGTATTAAATTTTTTTAAAAATAAATTGTGTCAAGAAAATGATTTATAATCAGATTTAACCTAAATTCTGAAACAAGTGTTCGAACTGACATGTTAAACAAATTTAAAAAAAAATAAATACAATTTTTTAATATAAGTACTAAATATCTTACGTTTAATCATGTTGTAGTAATTTTTCACTCAAACAGAGTACCTATACTAAACAATTATATTGATAAATATTTTTTAATTTTTTTATTTTTTGATACAAAGAAATAAATCGGTTAAAAGCAAATATTAATCTTAAGTACGTATTATTTTATCAACTATTTTTATAAGAATCAGTATTAAAAAAAAAATAAAAATATATTAATAATATACCTGATATAACGAATTCAATACTAAATTAATTTTTTTTAAGGCTGTCGATTGAAGAAACAACGAAAGGTATTAAATTACGTAACAAGGTTTTCATAAAAAAAAAAAAAAAAAACTAATAATCAGATACTTAAAAATAATAACGATAAAATATTTTAGACTAAAATAGACAATAATTTTACTGTTACTATATATGCAAGTTATACGTAATTTCGTTAGATAATGTTCGTCAAACATTAATTCGGAAATTCAATTAAACGCCATTAATGTTATTCAATTTAAATTTGTTTAAACTATTAAAATGTATTCATTTGTTGATTTCGAAATCAACATAAAATACTATAACGCGAGCGCGCACAAAACTAATTATTATTATTATAGGTAACAGTAATGTTCCGGGCTAAGTTTCTCTTCGTATTTGTTAATTTTTTACGACAGTATGATGTTGTCGTATTTACTTTATCGTCATATTTTTGAGTACAAACCTCTCAAACAATTTCATTTTTTTTTTTTTTGTTATTTTAAAGTCGAATAAGACTGTTTTTTTTTTTTTTTATATAGTTTACAGCTACAGAAATATTACTTTCAACGATGTTTCGCTACAAGGTATCGTGGGTTTTCGTGGTAATTTTGTTTACGTTTTCGTCCGACGGTGCGAGTATATATGATCCTGGTAAGCGGTTACATAAAATCGTTTAATTGACATGCACATTAGAACGATGAAATACCAAAAGCAATAATTTCGGATTGTCAGCATTCGCATAAAGTTTTTTATAGAGTTCTTTTGACTTTCATTCATTATAGGTAGAAACCGGATTTATATTCTTTTATAATCCATAAAAAGGCACTTAAAAACACCAAAAAAGTACGAAAAAAAAAACACTTCAAAATAAAATCATATGTATATTATAATTAAAATTACTTTTTATTTATCATTTTTGTAGTGTTAGAAAACTATATTTATAACTTAAATCTTATGGAAAGAGGGCTATTAAACCCCTCTATTATTTTTGTGTTTTTGTATATTTGTTAAGTTATTTTTTTTTCCAGTGTTTTTTAGCGTTTTTAAGAGCTTTTTGGATTTTAAGAACATATTAATCTGGCCTCAGTTATAGGTATCTTATAAAAAACGAACCGATTTTAAGAGTCTGAACGGAGTGAGGAATGTATTGCTTTTACAATGATTTATATTTTTATTTTTTTATGTAAATACTTTTGTACCAGAAAGCATACTCCGATTATCAATACAGCGCTTTTTCTGATAATGTGGAAAATCTGGTTTTTTAAGTTAAAAAAAAAAAAAATAAAAGAATAAAAATAAGGTTGTCATTGACAACTGTTTTTATTTATTTCTTTGTTACTATTAAGTTTTTATTATTTTAAAAAATATTTTTTAAACAATCATTGTTTTCATAGAAACGCACATTGTTTTAATCGTTTTATTTACTATAATTTTATGATATATATATATATATATTGTTGAAAAAGCAACTCTGTCAACTGAATTCCGCTCAGAATAATTTATCGTAACTTACAGATATGTATTAAATTCCCGTCTGTATCCTACCTTCCCAACTTTCCACGTACAACAGTAGATGCACCTACGTATGAAGTATGTCCGTCCTTTTATATATATATATTTTTTAAATCGGATATGAATGCATAAAAAATTAAAATTTTAGAAAAATGTTCTTTTATAAAATGGCTATTTTGAAAATTGTCTAAAATGAATAAATAAAAAAAAAACTTTTTTGTAATTAGGGAATAGTAATAAAAATTTAATTTTTCACCAAATCGATGTTCCCCTCGAAAAAAAAAACAATTAGAAAAAAAAATGTAATATTAACAGCGCCAGAAAAATCCGTCGACATGGTTGGACACAATGTATTTATACTTATATTCGACATAAAATATGTAATTTGACTTCATGTTAGGTACCTATACACATGCTGCATTATTTTGTTCGATTATTAATTTACCGTTAATTATTACGAGTGATTTGGGTTAATAGATGACTTGCTCGTTAGAGGAATCAGAAATCAGTATGGTGTTAATGGTTTTTATGGTTCTATTCGAGAACCTATGTATTCGTACTACGGGCCAAGTAAGCGAAATTATTTATATGTTATACATGACTTTTATCAGCCATATTTTCCTAAAAAAAAAAAAAAAACCCCCAAAGCGTACACACTCATTTACGAATTTCAACAACGAATATTTTGAGGGATATGAGCGTATACCTACTTGTTCTATTTTTACTGGGTATACGCTGATTGACCAAATGGCAAACGAATACTCGCCGCATGCCACCGTAAACCCTCCAAAACGCCATCGAGTCTATTATGACACACAAGAGACGTTCGCGTAACATTATTCCGTAGATCTAATTTGGCGGCATAACGCACACGCACGATAATCGCTTCCGCGTGCACATACTAAATTACTCTGTATACAGCTTATACCTTCCCAACTATCCACCCGCAACAGTCGCCTGCCCGAGATCAATCACCGCTCTTCGAAATTCATATTATACGTCTCACTCCCGCTCCTAAAAATAAATCCTGGTCATGTCACTGGTGTACTATAAGTATATATAATTGCAATAATTGTTATTAAAGATTCATTGTTGAAGGTAGGTTAATTGTTTAACATAATGTATAGTTACGCCAATTAAAACTATAATTATCTTTATTAGATATTAAAAAATTGTAATGCATTTATATTTATTATTTTCAGTTATTACAGAAAAGATAGGGTCAAGAATAGTATGAAAATTTGTATTAAAAAAACAATTTAAAATACATTTTAAATGATAAATATAATTTGTTTATTGTGAGATTTTATTATAATTTTAAAAACACATATTTGAAATCATAATAATGGAAATCAATTTTAATAATTATAATATTGTGCTTAAAATGTATGTGGATATTTAAGAGATTTTCGTTTACCTCTACTATCTCGGACGCGGAAAGCAGGTTCAGGATCAATTTTTGAGGAGAGGGTGGGGTTTAGAATATTTTTAATACATGAACTTGTAGTAAGTATTTATTATATTATTAGTATATACCTACTTTAAAAATTTAGGGGGGGGGGGGTTGAATCCCTAACCTCCATGTATACGGGCTTGAGACTCGGACGTTTCGGCGTGAAATATAGTTTTTAAGTTATTACTGGTTATTTGTCGTTATTTAACATGGTATATAAAATATAACATATTAGGACAAAATTCTAATTTTGGAAATTTAGAAAACATTTATGTTATTGACAACAAATTATGTTATTGGCAGCAAATCGTCGGCTAAAAAGCTGTTTACTATCTTACATTACGGGCAGTTATTTCATGTCGGTGAAAATTTAAAAGTGATCTAGAAACTTTTTTGGCCAACTGGGAGAAGAAAAAACCCACAGAAAACAAAAATTATGTGTGGACGTTGGCAATCAAATGTTTCAACTAATCAGTCACTACGATAATAAAACCATTTTAATATTTTTAAAAAGTTTATTTTAAAATTTGAATTTGATAAAATCATTTTTAAAATTATAATGTCTATTCATTTGTAGCTATGTATTTTTTGTCAAATATTAATACTATCGAAATAATAAAAATCATTTTTCATCATAAAAACAAATACCAAACTATAATTCCCAACTAGTCCGCGGTGTTGTATGCAATATTACCAACTAGTCAGTAAAAGAGTTCATATGAATTTTATTTTGCAAACAAAAAAAATCAAATTTTCGTGACAAACATCTCGATCACAATAGTTCATTTACAATAATTTGTATCCAGTCTAAGATACAAGCATGTTCATTGATCAATTCTGAATTAGTTAGATTAGTTTCCGAACCCTCAAATGTGAGAATGGATATTATTATTAGAATATAAAAAATAAATTAAAAACGAGCTGATACTGGAAACGGTTGCGGCCACTGTTGCGGGTGGAAAGTTGGGAAGGTAGAATACATAAAGTTATTTATAATACCTGTAACCAACGATAAACCATTCCTTATGGAAAACGATTCAGAGCGAAGTTTGGTTACACGTGTTTTGAAAGGCAATAATATTTACGATTTTCATCTATTGATTTTTACATACTTTTACATTATTATTCCCGCTACCCGGTAGTCGCTACTTGCTTACTTGTTGGTTATTGACTTGATTTATCCTGTGGTTAATGTATCTAAATACGTCATTTCACAAGGATGATAACAAATAATGACCGATTTGTTGAATATATCACAATACTACGACCCTTGTAAATTATCAAATAATTATATTTGCGTTGAACATTTTATACAACAGTACTGTGCTATGTGGAATCAATAAAGATGTTTGTATAATAGTTTATCGACCCGATAGTAAGCCTTATCGAGCTGTTTTTATCAATCGTTTATGCAACCCGGTAATAGCTAATACAAATATTAATTAATAAAATGACCCCGAAATCTAGTGGACCGACACTGCCATCAGCAGTATCAGCTGTGTTTATTCTTATTTTATTATACGACTATTGCGATTCCGAACTATTATTTCTAAAATTAGGAATTGAACTTTTTAAAATTAACAGATTTTCTTGTAAATTTATAACATGAAAACTTTGAATTGATTTCATTGATTTATAAAACTTTTATCCGAAGTCCTTTTTTGATTTATGTGGCTTTAAAATCAAATGAATTATTTTCATAATCCGCTCAATTTTACAAATTGGCATAAGTCGTATCTTACTGTAAAAGTAATATTTTATAGGTCTTTACGCTAAATGATTTCCTGTAAACAAAAAAGGGCGAAGCAAAAGTTATTAAGAAAAGTCTGTTAACTTATTTTAGTGGTTAAGTATTTTTTGGTGGTATTGTGTTTGCCCTAGGCAAAATGATTTACCTAGCACATGTTAAATATTAAACAAAATGTGCCAGGAGAATAATTTAAATCAGTTTTTTACCTAAAATCGCAGAAAACTTATACATTCTGTTGAGACAAGTGTTCAAACTGATACATATATACAATTCTAATAAAATTAAAAGAAGTTATATTAGTAAGTAATTACGAGTAAATTGTTCACTTGAACGGAGTACTTTATTATACAAAAAAATTAAATATTTGTTCAATTTTAAAGTTTTTATTGCATTTTTACACTTTTCACATACAAGAGTAGAATTCATTTTTTTTTTTTCAAAAATAAAATGTTTAATGAACCCACATCATTGATGAAAATCGTAAACATTACGATTAAAATCTTATATCATACAGTATAACTATGTTATACTGTCAGAATCATTCGTTAACACTGGTTTATCGTTACGTATCAGACATCAAAAAAAAAAAAATCCAAAAAAACGACCACTTCGCGATGCATCAACTAGGCACAATTGTCTTTAATAACAAAAATTATACCAATGTAACAATAATTAAAGTACATGTGATAAAAAAAAAAAAAAAATTATTACAAAGAAAATAATTTAATAATGTGACATTTTTGGTAGTAACTAAAATTAAATAAAAGCTAAATCTGTTTAATCTGTTTTTCAAATGTAATTAAATTATTTTTGTTAATATTTAATCTTCTTCTTCTTCTTCTTCCTCAATTTATCGGATCGTTGAGAACCATTGCTGCCATAACAAAACTTATCCGATCATCTCAGTCGTATGCCTCGTCAAATGTCGCGTATATTAATATTTATTGAAGTAGATAAAGTCAAACCTACATTTAATATAGTTTTTTAACCGAATATCTTAATACAATCTAGTCAAAATATGTAGAAATTACCAATTATAATGGGTAATATAACGTTTTTATTATTTTTTTTTTTTTTTTTTAATAAACAATCTAAGAACTTATTTAAACACGTCGGTAAATATTAAATTAACACTATTATTGTCAGTTGCGGCGCGATAGGGTATTTCATGAGGCGATGGCCTCTTGACCAATTCGGTGGTGGTACCTCTAGCCTAATAATATGAATTATCGCCAATTGATGTTTAAATCAACTTGTTTAAATAAAGGTTTATTGTTATCAATTTAAAGTAAATATATAGTATATTATATTTCACCGATTCACTTTAACCTAGTTAAAGTGTCCAGTGTTCTCTTGTATTGACGGATAGCGAAACAAAAAAAAGGTTTAATGTATTATTAAAATAAATGAATTGCCCAATTTTATTAATTTTTAATATTCAATGTGGAATGGTAAATTGATGAAGATGGGGGGAGGGGCGGTGTGTGGGGGCATCGTCCTCGCGACTCTGTCTAATAACACTTAGGTGGTGGTAGTCAGTTTCTGACATCTATGTTAGCCTCATAAAATAAAAAAGTTCACGCCGTCACTGATCATTGCTAATCCCAGCCTGTAAAAGTATAAAGAAAAATCTCTAGTTGGATAACTAACAATTTTAATGGTCGCTAAGAAGGAATTTTAAAATGATCGTACTATAGAAAAGAACGCTAAATTAAACTATGACGTAATTTAAAAAAAAAAAAAAAAAAAAAAAGCAATTATTATAACAGTAAAGTACATCGAAATTGACACAGAAACATAAATACAACTGAGGACAATTTTTTTAACACGGAATTGCCAAATATGATGTTTTTTTACGCGTCATTATATTATTACCTGTGTAGGTACTACTATTATTTGCTGAAGTACCTGTAATGTAATAATTGAAGTCAGTTTTAAAATGTTCATTATAGTCCAACGTTCAGACCCGAAAATTGATGTTTGCGAGTAAATATAATAATAATTAACACCTACCCAATTAATAACTAAAAAAAAAACGTGTCTAAACAGAATGTAAATAAAAATATCATTTTTAGAACGATGGTTATTTTCGTGTTAATCATTTTAACACTGCGGTCGACATACACATAGAAGAATACCTATTTTAAAATTGACACGGATTTCGATTGTAGGAAATCGTACGTAAACAACAATTATTATATTTGTATACATTATATAATTTTTAACACGAAATCGAGATTTCGGCCGTTTTCTATATTTCATACTAAAATTATTGACTTTGAATACCTGTAGTAATTGTGTCAGAAAAATCTGACCGTGGTTTTCAATTAAATATTATGTACTCAAATTTAAAGCACTTATGATGGATATTAACTGGACATATAAAATCCAAAAATTACTTCTTAAATGCCTATTAAATAACAATATCAATAAGATAGGTAACGTTTTTATGGATTTTATCTTATTTTATTATTAAAAATTATTTAAACGGTTCGATTAAATAACATCATATGTTATTAGGTAATTAGGACAATTTGTATATGTTTAATTAAAAAAACGAATAGGTCATTTGTTTTTTAGATTGTTTTTTTATGTGCATATGTGTTTAGAAGAAGATGAATTCGGCAATGTTTGAATTGCAAAAATTGTGGATTTGCGTCGCGGTCGGAGCGATGTTTTTTACATCTTCGTCGTGCGGTGCCGGTGCATTACGCCGCCGTGAGTACTTTCCTACATGGATATAGACTTATCGCGACTTCCATTTTGCTGACAAAATAAATCGATTTCATAAGGTATTAAAAATCTTCCCATTCCGCCGACACATAAATCGGTTATATTACTATTTTGAATTGAAATATTATTGTTGCAATGAAATAATTATTACTAAAGAAATTCCAGCGCTGCAATCGCGGCATAAGCGGAAAATAAATATATTACATTTAGTATTATCGAAAATACCAAAACAACTATTGACAATAACAATAGGTAATCAACGATTAGATAGATGTTCAAAAGAAGTTTTCTTAATATTTTCATAATTTAAGTTTAGTACAGTGAAAATTTAAGACAACTAGTGCAATCCCTGCAAAAACGACGGCCAAAACGATTTGTTTGAACGTGAGCTATAGTGGGATGGAGTTCATGAGTAGGTGTACTTCAAGCAACATACGTCACAGGTGAGTATTAACAAAATAAAATTGTGTCGGCGAAATGGGAGTCGGCGACGCGGGAATGAACCGAATCAACACATAAAGATAATAGAACAATCGAATATTAAAAACATACTTAAAATATAATAATATATAATATTGTTTCTAATAATAATTAACGATTTATAATATATTGCCTATGTTATTTTGATTAGGGATCAATTTTATTAATAGTATAATCGTCGACCGAATGAAATGGTTACTGATGAATTTGAGTGGTCGCACGTACACAATTCATGGTGAGGAATAACAAGCCATTTTGCTAAATAAATTCGTATAACGTTAAAAATTATGTCGGCGTTTAAGAAGCCAGTACATTTTTCCGCTTAAAATCATGTTTTACGAGTAAAACTCTCACGCCCCCGTAGAGTAGTCCGATTTCGATGGTTATTTTTTTTTTGTCGCAATGAGAAAAACTTTCTATAATGAACTCAGTTTTTCGATATTTTTTTCACAAAAATTGAAAGTGGATAAACTATCGATAAATTCGATAATGCGTCTTTAAAAAAAAAAAAAATCAATTTTTTTATTTTTGAGTACCTACAATAGTAGGTTAAATTAAATTCAAATAAAAAATTGGAGTTCAATACGGTCTGTACAGAATATTGTTGTTTATAAATGTTAAAAAAAAAAAGTAGTAGGAAAATATTATGTTGACAATGCGTTATTATGAATGTTACGGTCCGAGTGGAAAAACGGTTCATTGTAAATATTGCACGAAAAATTTGGACGATGTGAATTTTATTTATTTTTCATTTAGACTATCCACTGGCCATTATAATACAATGTTTGGTCATTGTATACAACGTTAAAACTGCATGTTAGGTCGTGTACAAATGTACAATTTATAACACGTCATATTTAACGTGTAAGGTTTATTTCAATAAGTATAATTTAATAAGCAGGTAATCTGGACGCATTATCGACATTTTAGCCGGATAGCTAAGAACTGAATCTGTACAAAATATCTAAATTCAAGCTAATAAAATTAGGTAAATCTGTACCAGATGTAGACAAAGCTCGAAGTGACATATGATCAATTTTGGAAGTAATTATGTCAGGTATTATAAACAATTAAATTTACCTACATTGTCAACACGTTCACTAATGTGTAGTAATTAAACATTTTTTACAGTGGAAAACGAAAATCACAAATTAGGCCTGACATTCGTCACTTAGAGAAGTAACTAGGCTGTTTTGCAATCTAGGAAACCAAAGTTATGACTGCTGCATTGGTGTCTGTCCAAACTTATCCCAAAAGGAGATGTAAACATAAAGCTCTAATAAGCTAAGGATATTAAACATTTTAAATTCGGACCGTAGCGAGGTTAGAAAACTTTTACAATGGTGTTTATGTTTTTATGATTTTTTTTTCTTTTGTGAACAACTTTTCTACCTTAAATCATTTTTCGATAGTTATTATATCAAGTGTAAAATCTTTTTTGAAACGAAATTTTATCTATACTTTAAGAGGTAATTTTTTAATTTTTCTAACGGTTTTCATTAAATTTCCCTCTATATCTTACCTTCCCAGTTTCTCACGGCAGTGGCCCATCCGTCGTGCGAAGTATATTTGTCTTTTTTGCACTTGGTACTGACATTTTCGGCCATTGTATACAGTGTCTAATCTATATATACATAATTGTCCACGTGGCTTGAAAAACTCGGGTGTTGTATACAACTCCCGAACAATTCGGGATTCCCGATCAGGTATCCACTTGGATCGTAACAGATTATAATAAATTCATTGCCGTCCGTAAAAACGGCCGTATCCCTTCCGCCTAAATGGTCATCGCGTAGTAAATTAGTGAAAAAGTTTTACTTTTAAATTGGTCATCAAAATGTTAAAAATAATTTTCGAATTTTACACAAAATGGAAGAAAATATGGAAAACCGGCACTTTAACAACACCATTATAATGAACAGCTATGGTTGTTTTCGTTTAAAACCTATGAATATTAAATCTGAAACCAACGTGATTGCATAGGTATTTACATTAAATTTGTAATTCATACAGAAGCAGGAAATGGCACAACGTTAAGTTCCGATAATGGTTACAGTGGTACAAACGACGAGTTAGCATCACTGGGTAAGCGAGCTTTTCGTCATTATAACTTTAGACGTTAACTGCAGTATTATTCACTGACTTTTCGAAAAAATTTCTGCTGAAAATTGTTTTTGATTTTATATTAAAAACATTGATAATACGTTGGTTTTAAAACTATGATTTTAGTTGCACAATAATTTTTATATAATATAAAAATTATTTAAATTCTGTAACGTAATTTTACTAAAACTTACAAGTTTTTCGATTTTGATTTTTGATAATTTCATCCAATTTTTTAACAACGGTTCTATTGTCTAAAACCTTAAGTTTTTGAATTTGTCATGGTTGTCGTTTGATTACGATACTATTTCGATTATAGGGCTTTCCCTCTAATCTTGAATACAGACAGCGTATATTTTTGTAAGAAACATAAAAAAAATGTATAAACATTAATAGTAAGTAAGCAAGTAATAACTTTTATTGGAAATTAATCAAAATAAACGTTTTCTTATTTGTTTTCAGACGATCAAAATTACATATCTCAATATTATTCTTATTTTCATCCTGTGAAACGTTCGGCAAATGTATAAGAGAATTGAATATATTATTATGCATAACTATTGTTATTATATTAAAATATTAACTACTGATATTTTATAAATTAAGTTAAAGTAGGTTTTTACTTAAATTAAATTGAATTATTAATAGATATCAGTAATAGCATTTAAAAAAATGTCTGAAGTACCGCATTACAGAAATGTAATTACATGTGATTTCGAAAAAAATACTAGGTACTCGTTATAATAGGCGTTTTTTGTATAATTTATTGTAATTCGTCAATCTCAAAATACAACGTTGTTTATGATGAAGATTGTAAAATGGCATATCGCTTGTGAAATATTATTCTGTAATTTCCGCATAGACCTATTTAACAATGTACAAGGTTTATGGAGTATGGGTGAAATATTCTAAAACAATTCATATCTAAATATCATGAAAAAATATGCAATAAAAATATTAACAATAAATAATTTAATGTTTATCAATTATCATCCTCTATGTCTTCTGAAACAAAACCAAATCAAATATGTATTTTAAACATGGGTATAAACTGTAAAGTGCAGTAATTAAAAATATAAATTTGATTTATTAGGTCACGATATGGAATTTAAATTTATCAAAACCAAAAAACGTCCACGATGTCGATGAAGTGACCGAGTCAGTGAAGAACTTAAGCACTAGGAATCAGGGTTAGAGAAAAATTAGTATTGGGGAGATATTGTAAACGATTCAAAATGATCAAAACCGATATTATCGCATAACACGGTTAGGTTACTCCCTAGATAACATTGGTTTTCATACGGATTAGTAGAAATTAAAATGGCTGTTACTTAAAAACTATTCATCGGATATAAATCTGTGATACATAAAAATGTTCAGAAGGATAATTTATACAGAATGGCTATCTTAAAATTTTCCAAAAATAATAATAATTAAAATATAAATATTTGTAGTTTCCTGTGAGTTATATAAAAAAAAAAAAAAAACAATTATTTATAATAAATACTATACTGTCGTTTTAGTAAGCTGACAGTATTTTCGATAATAAACGACAGAATTTCAACGATAAAATATGAAAAATTCACTTGTTTCTAGCAATTTCATAGTAGGTAATCCGGCAACGTAATAAAATTATAGAAATAAGTGGAATTTCTATAAAAACCAAGTAAAACAGTTTGTTACAAAATCCGAGCCCCGCTGTTTGTAAGGTAATTATTTTAACAGTTATCTTGTAGGTGCAGAAATATGCAACTGTGACAACAAATTATTTGTGAAAGTCAGAACACTACGATAATACCCAGGTACGGCAAACCGTTTTAAACTTTTTCCTTTTTTAAGGTAGATGAGATTTGTTTTAAACGTTCATGAATCTTGTACAGATAAATTTAAGGTAAAAAGCAATTAGTATAATAATTAAATATATAAAGTATAAACAGGCGTAGTTTTAATGCACTTCTATTTAGTATAAATACGAATGCTTGTCTACGGACTACTTGCAGTTATCATATAAAAAGGTGTCTGTATTAATTTCTATATTTTATATTTTTTAAACCATTCGAACTTAACGATACAATAACATATTAATAATTTGAAACTTAATTGGACAAAATTTGTTCAGTAAAATATAGTTCAGGTAAACCTCCAAAACTCTAAAAATACAGAATCAACATTTTGCATTTTTTGTTGTTCATTGTTAGTTTGGTAATAGACGCGTTGTTTACAACGGAAATCACAACAAGAATCAGTTACCTTGTCTCTTTTCTATGGCCCTGTAAAAATCGTTTACCATATCGTATACCTAAATGTGTTTTATATTGATTACCCCCAATTTGCTTCACATTTGCTGAGAAATCTATTGGGAAAATCAAAAAATGACCTCTTTAAAGTACCTCCCTAGTGAAATGTCCTTTCAGAAACATTGATGTGATTAAAATTTGGAGTAAAATTGCTGGTAGAAAAGTTGCGCATAGATAAAAAAAAAAAAAATTAAACATCTTTGTGAAACCATAAGTTTTTTCGCTCCACTCAGAATCTAATACGCAGATTCGCTTTATTAAAATAATAATACAAAAATATGGGTTTTATTAAAAAAAATATGACGTGTTCACACGGTATTCGATACTAGAACATTTGTTAAACATATTTTGAATACAAATACGGGATTTATTGTTTGTTGTTACATACTTATACAAGATTGGTTACCTATAAAACGTGTTGTTTCTGTATCGAAGATTTATACCTATTTTATCGCTGTATACCAATCAGTACATTTAATATCCGATTGTTTAGCTCTAAAGAAGACTATAATTAGGTATGTAGATACAATATTTATGGAATTACTTATTAAATTATTAATTGATAAATCATATGAACTATTTCTTTATTGCCCGTATGGAATTAAGGTTGGACATTAACTGGTTAAAAAGTTTTTATCTTAGCTTTAAACTTTTGTTTTTTTTTATTAATATAACTTAATTATTTTGCGTCAACTATAGTAAAAAGTTTATTTTGAATTACAGATATAGTAATTGCGTTAATTTAAATTTTTTTTGATTTTAATATTAAATTAAAAATTGCAATACCCTACAAAAATTATTGATTTTACTCAATAATGCGTATAGTGACATACGATAAAATCAATCCATCAATTAAATTGAATAATTAAATACTCAATAATCCCAATTAGGATAACCCACGAACGTATCAAGAGACTTCAGTAGGTATTTGTTCCGGTTCCACAAAATCGTCTCTTCGCGTCTATTTGCAATTCAATCGAAGGACGCGTTTGTCGTTTTTATACATAATTATTACTATTATTATTGCATATGACATATTTTTCGACTAATTTGAATAGAATCTAGAAAAAAAAAATAAGATTAATACAATAAATAAGTGAAAAATTAATTCAAAACAAAGTTTTGAGTAACTTCATTTTACATATTGTTTGTCATTGTAGACTATAATTATTTATTTTTTTACTACAATTATTGATTAATTATATAAGTTCCGATGTACGAAACTAGTCAAACAATCACGTACCTCGTATCCCAAAATAGTATCGTTTAAAGTTAAGTAATCACAATCGAATTTCTTGTTCAACGCGAGCTGGTATAATAATTAGGTATCTAAAATTAAGTAATAACGTTTGGATGGTTTTGTTTTGTTTTTAGGACCTGCTCATCTGAAAATGATTGGAATGGGGAGAACGTGGCTTTGCGTCTTTTTTATAGTGGCGTTTTTTGCGTCTTCGATGTACGGCGCTAGTTTAAGACGTGAGTATGTACAAATAAATGATTTTCGCGAAAAATCTAAAAGATCCTTCGTTCCGATCAGAATCTAAAAAATATATTTACTTTTGAGTGAAATGAGGAAAAATAATTTTGAACTATATTATAATAAAATATTAGTTCTTAGTTTTATAAATGTTAAATTTTATTAAATTAACTGACATTACGAATCTATCGATATCCTTATTAGAAACGGTTTCAGGACTAATAGTCGCCAAGTCTGTTATTGAATATACGTCTATTTTCAAAATCGTCTACTATTTGTGCATTTATTATATTTGAATGCCTACTATTTTTGTAATATAATATTTACATTCTCGATTACACTATACCTGTGTATTATGGTCCCCTATAATACTTTCCTAGAGTATAAATACTTCTAATAAATATTTTCCGGAAAACATTGTTCCTCGACTCCATTTTCAAGTGGTAGCCCCATATTTGAATATCTAGTTCAAGAAATGTCTACAAATAAAGAGTGTGAATGGTTAATAGGCATTACTTTATACGCATTTGTTTACTTAATGAAAAAAAATGTCACGTATTATTATTTGTTTACCTCGTTTATGCCCACCTAATAGGAAGTATAATTTTTCTTAACCATCAATCAAAATCAATAAATTATTTTTAAATCGAAACTTAAATTTAAAAATTGACATATAATAATATTTTAAAATAACGTATGCAATTTGTTTTATTTTCCTATAGTAGAGTAACGCGTTGCATTTGTTTTCAGACGCTCAGGAGATCACGCTGTACGACATTGAAAATGCTACGAAATTCTCGTTCCATGATGAGTGTGAGTGATTAATAGGCATTACTATACGTGTATTTTTTGTTTACTTATTGTAAAAACATTGCACATAATATTATTTGTTGACCTCGTTTGTGTCCACCTAACAGGAAGCATAATTTTTTTCGGCCATCAATCAAAATTAATACATTATTTTTAAATCGCAATTTGAATTTAAAAATGTTCATAAAATATTTTAAAATAACGTATACGATTTTTTAATTTTTCTATAATTGAGTAACGAGTTGTGTTTGTTTTCAGACGCTCAAAAGTTGTTGACGCTCGACGCTGATGAATCTGTGACCATATAAAAATTAATACCCGCTACTGCGCAAAACGATGATATTTTTATTGATTTATTAATATATATTGACTATAATATAATATTAAGGAAACATTAATAAAACATTACAAAATAAGTCGATGAATAACAAAAGTAGTCATTGTTAAATTGTAAGCGTAGCGAGGAATATATATACTTGATTATACTATATGGTGATGTTTTTTTTTTCCTTTGATTGTGCCTGTAAACAAGTTTTTTACCAGAAGACTTGCTCCAATCATCAAATGAATGATAAAATTCGTTACAAATACAAACAATATTATTGTAATCTGTTTTTTAGTTACAAATTAGTAAATTATTTTAAACATAAATAACTGATTATTAAATGTTAAACCGAGCTCCACACAGAATCCTTTTTTCGTTTGCAATGATTTATCGTTGTATTTAGGATATAAATTAACAGCCTTCTACAATAATGGCTTACTCACGAGTAATGCCGTTTTATTTTTTATTTTATATTACATCACAGATATAAAAGGTTAGATTTAGTGGCACTACCAGAAAAAGAGGGGTATTTAATGTATCTAGAACTCCCCCTTTATCCGTATTTCAGTAATTAAAATTTATTTTTTATGTATTTTTTTTTTTTTTTAGATATGTAGATATATGTGACTTCCTCCTTCAAAAAATCCTGGTTACGCCTGTGATAATGAATGGTGTATAAAACTGCATATAAAGTACGTCATTCAGTATTTAAAGAGTTGTGTCTAATAAAATCAATTTTAACGGAATTTTGGAAAAAAATGAAATGTATCGACTTAAAAATATTAAAACAAATTTAGTGGAAAGTGTCGTGTAATAATATTACTGACAGACGCGTACTGGCCCGCCGGGGTACCGAGAATTTCCCCTGTGAACCCTTCTCATGTAGGCCGTGATTTATTCACGTTTTCCTATTCCTATTGTTTTAAACTATCTATTGTAGCATTTAAATTTCTATTAGGTTGGTTGGTAGGGAGACTCAGTGCTTAAATTGGGAGAGGTCGCAAGGAGGCGGAGTACCGCTTCTTTTTCAAAAATATTTTAACGCACCACCCCCAATTTTTCTTAATGATCTTAATTAGGTTAAATTTAATCATTACAGGGGACAACACTTTTAAGTCTCATAGTATCCCTTCTTTTATTTTTCCAATTCAAACACTGGGTAGGCTGCTACTTGATGAATGTTTATTAGTAGGTCATATTTCATAATTTCTCGGTACAAAAGTAGACCCAGTACGCGCCTGATCACAAATAATTAAGAGAAGGTAACAGATAACCATAGTGTTGATATACTATTTGTTTAAACACAATATGTTTACGGAAAATAAAAAAAAAGTTAGACAAGTTTGAGAAAAAAACGCCTTTTATACGAATAACAAACACTAGATAACGTTTATATTTCGATCATAGGCACTAGATATTTACCACCTCCTAACCTACTATAATAATATAATAGCGAGTAAGTTTTAAGAAAAATAAAATTAAACTCTTGATAAATATCAAAACCTATCTTTCGATAAAATGACAAAATCGAAATCAAAGATTAAGTTCAGTGTGTTTAAATAAAATTCAAACAGTGTATTTTATTGCCAACTTCGCATGATTCTAGTAATCTAGTTTGATATGCAAATACAGATGTGAGTATTGTAAAATGTTAGTACTTATAGTACTCAGCATTTTGCATTGCTTTGAAAATAATTAAAACATTATTGATAATTTGTATCCCAAAAATGTATAACTAAATTAATGAGTTTGTACTTGATTTGAATTTTAGGAATTATTTTACATTCGGAGCGTAGCGAGAGATTTATTGGTTTTACTATGCGTTTTTTTTCCTGTCTGTAAACAATTTTTCGAAATGAAATCTTGCTCCAATATATAGAGTACAGTACTTTTTCAGAATAGAAATTTTCTCTAATTGGTGCATTAGAGAGGTCATTTTAAGGTTTTCGAAACAATTGGAAAAAATCCGAAAGAAAAATGTGGACGAAACGGCAAATATTTTCGGCACACCGCGACGTTAACGTTTTCATTGTTTTTAATTTGTTAACACGATGTTCTCTACCAGCAATATTGCTGCAATCGAAAAATGTCAAAACATCGATTTTGTTCCTTTCGATAGATAGCCATTGACAAAGAAAGTCGGTTTTTAATTTTCTTTGTCGGTTTTTTAATAATTGAGCAAAACCGAAAAATACGTAAAAAGAACAAGAATATTTACGAAAATTCTTTATTATTTTAAATTTTGTTTTTTTAATGCGATTCAGTTAAAAATATTAGTAGAGTCTCTACATTTTTACATAAAACTCATATTGGCTTTTTCAAGGCGTAGTAAAAATTTCAAAATATTTAAGCCATTTATATAGACATTTTAATTTTGCATAATTTTTATTTGATAAGTACTCTTTGGATAAATTTGTTAGAAACGCTTGAAAATTTGACAGTCGTATTTAGTGGTCAAAAAAAATTGATCATAAAGTAGTAGTATTTTTTATTTTTTATAAGAGTTTTAAAATCAAATTTTGACGATAATTGTAAATATAACTGCGTTTCCAAACATGCATAACCGAACTTCCTTCCAAATTGTTTTTCGTTAACAATAGTTTATCGTTGGTTACACTTATAATAAATAACTTTACGTAATGCGTGTCCTATCTTTACAACTATCCACCTAAAACAATGACCGTGGGGATGGGTACGGACCCATCCCCATGATCAGCTTTTTTTTTTATAATGAATTATTATTATTTTATTTTTTTACTCACCGTAAACTTTAGACATAGGTATCCAATTACGTTTATCTCCAAAAACCTGATGAGAGACAGGTCAGTACACAGTGGTATGTTTAGAAATCGTTCATGGAAAAGGTCCAGATAATTTTCCAAATTCATTTACGGGAGGGGTTTCACCCCTCACACTCTCCGACTTTAGACTGAAATGGGAATTCTATTTGTTAAAATGCATTTGAAAAAAAAAAAACTTTTAATGTTAATAATAAAATTATTTATTTTTGATTACATAAAACCGTATTTATAATACACAATCTAATTTCCTCAGACTTAATGTCAATTCATTAATGATTTCATCCACACATAAATGTGTGTCTCGACGAATGGACATCATTACTAGTCCATTTAGCCTCGTCTACATATTAATCGAATAAAAATACAATTATAAGTTATATACTATATAATATTTCTAAAATAATTGAAAGACTAGTTTCAAATTTATTTAGTAATGCACCACTGGATATTTAGATATCAATGAAAGGGTTCGGACTCCATGACCTCCCACCCCCAATGTAAATACCCCGCTGTCATTTGAGTTCAAATAATTATAAATACGAGTGTCTATTATTAAAGATATTTTTCACTTATCTCGACAAATCGTCATTTTTAATCTGATTTGTTGAAAAAAAAAAAAAGTGTTTAGAAAAACTGTTTGAAATATTCAGAAAAATTGTTCAAATAAAACACTGCCGGGTGATAAACCAGCATCTTTTACGGTACAATTTGAACAACTTGGAACATTCTTAGTAAACGAAAAAGTGTTATTCGAGAATAAACACCGTAAAAAGGACGCTATATGTGGTGAATTATTGGGAATTTCAAAATCAATGTTTCAAATCAAATACCATCCACATACAGTATTTTTTGTAATATTTCATTGTACTGGAATGATTTTTGTCGACATTTTGAGCACATTGTATCAATATCGACTTGGGTGTTTCGATAGCATACAAACGCATAATATGGCGATGCAAATCAATGACATTTCCAATTATGCACGCCGTTTTTAATAACGATTTTAAACAATAATAATATAAATATATAGATAATAATAATAGTATAGGTAATAGTAATGACAAACAATACTTAATATTACTGACTAAAATATCACGACAAATAAGTATCGGGTTTACGTTTTCACGAGTGGACTTACGGGGCGAATGTAAACAATTAACACACGGGAAACTGTAGCATCTGCAACAGCCAACATCGGCTGATAGGCGCTTCGTTATAAATACATGATGTCGATGATATTGTTTTTTTTTTTTAATTTCTAGTGCATTTTATTTCTTAAATGTATATTTATATACTTAAACATAATTGTTAGTGGGTACTCAAGTAAAATTTAAAACACAATATGCATCTAAACTCGCTAAGACTTCAGTATCATTGAATTTTTACAGTCACAATAACAATATAAATATTTTGTTTTAACAACTTTACTATATTGATTAATTTATCGTATATAATATTTGCATGCGTGTATACGAATACACTGTAATAATAATGTTCGAATTGTTGTTATTCGCGGGGATATCGAAGTGCGAATAAGCATTTAATACTAAGTCCACCTGTTGCACTGCGCGTATTACGATCTTAACACACTGTCAAGGACGAGCCAATGAATTAAGTATACCACGGGAGAGTGAGGGGGTTCATGATCTTGAATTTGTCATGATTTCATAAGCACAAAACTAGAATACGTACATGTACATTGTACACGTCGCGGGTCTTAATTCTTTCACACGTTTTAGAAAATAAGCTCGGGCGTTTTTTTTTTCTTGTTTTTTTTCACTAATAAATGAAATCCGATTCGGCCTCTTTGTTTTGTTTTGGTAATTTTATTTGGGAAATAGTGTAAATAATTATTTTACAGGCGCCTGGCACGCTATTGAGTTATCTTGACGGTAAAATCGAAAATTGAGGGGGCGGTGTCACGCGCGTATAGGTATACCCGTACCACGGACCCACCCCCAAGTCTCGTCCCTGTACAGCCCTGTCCTGCGCCGTCTCGTCCGTCGTCATATTTCCATGGACCGTTGATCGGCGCGATCGGTGTCCAACGTTATGGTAACGCTCGGTATGTTTTTGTTCGTCGGGGGCGGCGGCGCGGTACCGACGTCTCTGCCGTTGCTATTGTTCGCCGCTAGATCGTGCGCCGTAACGCTCGGCGGATCGGCAATCGGCACGGTCGCGG